TGTTTTTTTTTTTGTTTAAAGTATGAAGCATTTTTGTGAAAAAAAAATCCGGAAAAATTAAAATTTTTGCACTTATTGTGAAAAATTCTCAGTGCCAATTCTTTTTTCGGTGCATGTATGTATATGTATATGTAACTAAATCCTTTGTATGTAAAATTTGTTTGCATTTATTCATTTTCAACTTAAAATAGTAAGTATATCTATAATATATGTATATTAAAAATAAAAAATAATACAAATATAGTGCGATTCAGATAAAGAAAATTATAGGAAATTAAATACATACATATATAATTTATTTACATCTTTTTTGGAAGTCAGATGGTATGGAATGCTTAACTTTCATATCTGCAAATGAGTTTGAGATCTTGTCTGGCCATGTTCATAACCAAAAGTAGATATGATTATAATTTATTTAATGCAAGGCCGTGGCCCACCATACATATGTATATCCTCTTTGGAAAATTTACTCATGATGTGTGTATGTATTTATGCATGCGATTATGAATTCATGCATATTTAGTTAATAAGTATAATAAATAATATTGCATAAAATATATTTTAGTTAATGAGACAAACATATTTAATGTGTAAATAAACTAGCGTTAGTATGTGAGCAATTGTAAAATGACCAGTTGCCGCTTTAAGCTGCCAAGGAAACGTTTTGTCTGGCATTTGTAGTCTTTTTTCCGTTTTTGTGATGCCGATGTTGTGATTGTTGTAAATGTATTCGTGATCATCTATATCGCAACTATTCTGAAGGCGTTAGATCTTTCTCTGGTTCGTTTTCATTTAAAATTTGTGAAAGTAAATCGTGAACCGGTTCAAAAGCCTTTTTCGCGCCGCTATTCGTCAAATTTTTATAGTCGAACATATCGTGATGACTAATAGTATTGTCTGCTTGTAACAGACCTTTGCCGATGCAAACTGTTTGCACCTGATTGAGACCAATCACTTTCTCCTTTACAATTCGATTCACCTCGGAATTTTTTTCTCTCAGCTTGTTCGGAAGATGGCCGCGAGGTAGTAAGGTCTATAATTTTAAGTAAATTCGGAAAGTGTGAGAAGATATCATTAAATGGTGTAGTAATTTATATTTATGTTGAAACTTACCGGTAACACGATATACGTTCCTGGCAACTTCGCTCGTATTCTATGCACTATTTCCACAATGCCTTCTGCTATCTGCTCAGCACTATTTTCTATATTATTTGTTCCCACGTGCAATACAACAATCTGATATATAATTAGAAATATGTGGTAAGCATATTGGATATACATATGTATATATAAAGCTCCAATAATAAAACAGGTAGATAGATATCCCTACATTTATAGTAGTGAAACCAACCTTCGGTTTAACATTGTCCAATTCGCCATTTTCCACGCGCCACAGCACATTTTCTGTTCGGTCGCCGCGAATGCTAAAGTTAAGGCAATGCATCGGTGCAAAATATTGATTCCAAGTTTCCGAATCCTGCAGAGTTTCTAACACACAATCTCCCAAAAATATGACGTCGGGATCCTTCTCCCGGCATTCGGAAATGAAACGCCGATGAATGCTAAAAAAAATAATTTTTTTTATGCTTCTGGTGGAATTTATTTAAATTTGGAGCTAATTAACATACCAAATCCAGCGTTCGTCGCCATCTAAGTCCGGGCGTTGGGTGGCTACAACACAAGGGTTCATAATTTTTTTTTTTACGATAAAAAAAATCCACACTACTTATAAATACTAAAACTATCAAAGAATGCTTTGAAATTTATTGCAGAGCTTTATTATAGAAAATTTCCGGTCTTTTATTTTCCAATCAATTCATAAAAAAAGAAATTTCCGCAAACCAGACTGACGTTTTATACCTGTCATTCACAATAGGAGAAGGTGTTGCTGGCAGGATTGCCACTGACGAAAAAAATACTTACCATCCACTTGAAAAAAATCTACCAATTGTGGAAAATATCTACCAAAATTTTTTTTTTGGTTATTTTATTGAAAACTACAGTTTTGATATTTTTTCAGTTAATTCCATAAGAATTCAAATTGTGTTTAAGGAACTATTTCAACCAAAAGCGAAAGTGATTAAACTAAAGGCAACAACGAAACTTCATCATTTGAAAATATTTGAGCTGGCGTTAATATAGATAAATACAGTGACTCAAAAAAGCTTGGTGATTTTTTGTAGTATTCACCTTTTTTTCAAGTCAAATTTTTGGTATTATTTTATAAGAATGTTGTTTACGCTTTAGCCAAACATTTAAAAATCAAGGATTCAAGCTAAATACAACACTTAGAAAAATTCAATTTCGAAATTTTTACTCTAAATTTTTTGAACAATTTAATGTATGGAGTTTTATAGCCCATAATCAGAGGTGGGCACTACCCCAAACAAGCGTGAGCTAAATGTGAGAATGTGTTAGTGTGCCTAATTCATTTTGCATGCTGTCGTGTTCTCATCGCTGCGCTCTCGCTTGTATACGTGCACGCGACGCTTACGCTCTTTTAGCACCTGCTAACTCTCTGCCCATGCCTGCCCATAACACTTGAGACTAATCAACAATGTGCAGCTAAAAATTCCCATTGGCAGTTTTCAATTTTTTTGCCGCCAGTATTTTGTGTTTTTTTTTTGTCATTCAACAATTGCCATTGATAAAAATATGCGTTGATTTAATTTTTTTTCGAAGGCTCGAAGTGGGCAATTACATACTTGCCCGTTGTTTTTTATTTAAATAATCATTTAAAATATTTAGGCAATCAAAAGCTTCTCGGAATTCTAGTAAGAAGAGTTTTGAATGTTCGCCTTTTATCGATATGTTCGCCTTTTATCGATATACATTTATTCGTATGTATATAAAAAGTGTGCATTAAAGTGTTAATGCAATAAAGTACACTGCACTTTTGGAAAGAAATTTCTAATAAAAGATAACTACGAAAAATAAAACGGGAACGAAAAATTGTATTTGTTTTCAAACTAAATAATTCAACAAAAATCTACCAAAATGAGAAAAAATTTACCTTTTTACCAACCCAAATTTTTTCTACCAATTTTGGTAACAATTAAAAAAGTGGCAACCCTGGTTGCTGGCAACATTGCGTAGGATACGTCATAAACAGTGTTTGCATTTTCTTTGATCTGTGTTTCCCTCGGGGATTTTTTAAAAACCTTTTTATATAAACTTTTATAAAAACACGATGCGGAAGTCTTTGATTTTAATTTTTGCACTTCTGTAATTTTATTCAACGAATATTAATTTTAAAATATTCGGTCTCTCATACTAAAGTTTGTTGGATAAAAAATTGGGAAAAATACAGTGTAGGCAACATTGTCTGCCAGCGACGTGAAATTTTGGTGGAAATAATAGCTGAAATACAATGCCGGCGAACGGCAAACTTCGCCGAATTGGGCGATGCTGTCGTTCACCGTTCGCCCAGCTATTTCGCCTACTTAAACAGAATTAGAGCGGTAGCGAAAACAGCTGATCCCATTTGGTCGCCTTTATAAAGGTGTTCTTACACGATATGTTTTTGCATGTGTACATGCCACTTTTTACATATGGAAATACCAACATATCGTGTAAAGGCAAATTAGATTTGTTTCTGTACAAAGCATATGCACGTACATACGAAATAGAAATGTTTCTATTTTCATCTGACACACAGATAGAATCATCTAAGGTTACTTTATTTCGTTTTCAAAGATCGTATTTTTAAAAAGTTAAATAAAGACTGTGAATTTGACAGACATACACAATTACACGTGTATTGAAAAACTCACATTTACAGATGAAAATACATATCGTATAAGAACACCTTAATTTGGGTGACCATATTTAGAAAAAACTAAACCATATTTAGAAATGAGGAAATGATAACAAATATAAATATAAAACAAAGAAAGATTATTGTAAATAATTTGTTTCAAGCCAGATTTAACGAATCCACAACTATATTTTTCAAACAACAAAAAAAAATCGTGTTTAGGTTGTTTTCTTTTAAAACTTTGAAAGCAAAAAACAAATACGGCCACCTTTGGCATGCACAGCTGTCATCGCCCAGCAGGACGATAGAAATAAATCTATCGCTATGAAACGCCGCCAAGCGAACTTCGCATTTCGCTTGGGCTGTGTTCAATTTCATATGCTTGCGGGTGTTCTAATTTTGACAGCGCGAATTTCGCTGTGGTGAGTTCGCCGTTCGCCGGCATTGTATTTCAGCTATAAAAGAAAGAATAAAAGGTGACTGAACAGACGCAAGCAAGCGAGTGGTGTCGTTGATTTTTTCGCAAACGTCTCAATTTCTTTAGAAGATAGAAAATCTTTTCATTTATTTATATTTACAATATAGAAGTGTAGGAAAATGCAGTTTTGGAGCACTCGAAAATGTCGCTGCTTAGCAATTTTTATGGTAAGTAATTGCAACAAATATGTTACCCACTGCAAAGCGAACTTAGCACAATGCATGAAATTTTCTGGAAAGTTTTCTTTCGTTTTCATTCATAACATTAAAGGGTGGCATATTAAATCTTTTCAGGTAATTTACGTCCTTTATAATCCTACGGATTCTGGAGCTGTGGACATGACCAGTGAAAATGTTGACATGACACTAGGTAAGTTGAAATCTATGGCAAACCTATCACTGCTCTTTTAACGGAGTTGAGTAGCGGCAAAAATGAAGCTCGATTACGCTTCTCAAACTACCGCTTTTATTCCTCTTGACGTGTCAATGGCAGATGCAGTCTAGCGCTTAGCAAAAAATGCACAGTTAAGCGATTCAGATGTTAGTAGATCAAGTGAATTTAATTCTAACACTATTTAAATAGATTTTAGCTTTGTGTGTCGAAATGAATCAGATAGTTATTTTTTTTTTAACATATGTATGAAGTACCGGTGAGAAGTTTTTCAGGGAAACCAGTTCCCAGAATGCGTCGATTTTGGGGTTAATTTGAGGTTTGAACGTTCGCCTCTTTTCGGCGAAAAATCGATGTGTCGACAGTACTTACTGCAAGCACATAAATGCTTGGACACCGATTTCCTTTTGTGGATATTTTGACTTTTGGATCCGGGGGGGCCAGGAAGACCAGACCAAGGGTTGTTGTTTCGGCGAACGCCGAGTTCCTGCTAGCGAACGCCGATTCTCCAAGATTGTCACTGCAGCTGCTGGATGCATTGCGGAAACAAGTTCGAATTTGCGGCGAAGGCGCAGTTTTTTTTTATAAGCGGAAAAAGTGGGAGTAGTACTTAAAGACCTGCAACTTCGCCTCTGATGTGGTCAACAGTAAGGTCACTGCCAAGCCCGACGAAGCTGGCAGACAAAGTGGAAGTATCATTCAGTGATCGTGCCTCGTCGGACACTGCTTCTTCCGGGGCACAGAGCCCGCGGTGAGATGCAGGAGGCCATCACGAAGACGAAAACTTCCAAAACTATTGGTCCCCTGATAATGATCGTGATGCTGAAATGATGCGGTCCAGCGAAAGTAGATTACCTCGCCGCGTTCCACAACTTGTCTATGGTCACTCTCATTATTATCGATGTGGGATCAGGGAAATTGGTCCAACTGCTGAAACCGGAGAAGACTGGCAACAATAAGGAGTCTTATCAGTAGGCAACAATCCTCTCCCCCGTCGCGAAGTCACTTATCACCTGACGTAAACGAAACACCAGCTTGATTTTCTCAAAGTTAACAGCACAATCACAACATTTTACACTGATAACTCGAGGCATTAACTGCAACCGCCCCTGTAAGAGAAAAGTCCTAGTAGCGTTGGTTCCTCTCTTCCATAAGGACTCGAAACGCGGATTACCTGAGTGGTCCAGCGGTAAAGAATTCTCATTGATTTTTCATATTTTTTTGCTTATGGTGTTACGCATATTTCTCTTGAAACTTACACAATATGGACACAAAACTGCATACCCCATTTTCTTTTAAATTCTTATTAAAAATTTTAAAATTTTGATGATAATTTTTGAAAATTTGGCGAATTTTTATATATCTTGTATAAGGTTTGAACCTTTGAGTTGTATGGTTTTCGTTATTGTATAAACTATATTTTTGTTAAAAGCATAAATAAAGAAACAATAAATGGTCAAAACTTAGGAAGTTGTGCACTTAATTACTTGGCCGCCACTGTATGTATGCATGTATAGCAGCCTCACAATTGTTTATCAAAACAGCTGTTTATTGTTTTAAAATATGTTTAAACAATTGTTAAAGAGTAGTAATTTTTTAAGAACTGCGTATTTCCTCATGTCGTAAACAGATCATAACCCTTATATAAGTTTTTAATTTAAAATATTTAGTTTAACCTACATAAAGGAGTTCAATGACGTTTAATAAATACATACTTATGTACGTACATATCGCACCTGAAATGCAAAAAGACGTAACAACATCGTAACTGAAATGGAAAAAGTCGAGACTTAAAATTTTTATTTTTTTTCATAAAGTGATTTCGGAGTTCTAATTCGATGAAATCCATCATATTAATTAATCAAGAACTGAATTTTGAATTTTTTATTAGCTACGACTTTTAGAATTTCAGCGACGATGTTTGTTACGTCTCTTTTTTCAGGTTACGATATGCTGCTCATACCATACGTACTTAAGTATTTTTATTTGAATGTAAATAAGGACGCCAATTGAATATGGTAGGGCTTGGAAGTCCTATCCGGATAGTGCAGATATTCGAATAAAAAATTAGCAAAAAATAAGAATTGTTTGTATATTAATGAAGTGATTTGTAACAGCATCTGACAGCCCTGACCAGACATGAATCTAAATCGGTCTGGTAGCGGGACCGTTCAAGTACTGTTTAGAAAATCCCGACAACAAATTGAACGGATATTAACCGGATATCCAGATTGGGACATTTCATTCCAGAATGTGAACAATTGTAAATTATAACCATGGTAGAATTATACCATGCCTTGAGAACTTATACCACAGTGAAATATAATTTCTAACAGATAGCTAATATATAAAATTCTTTTTCAAAAAAATACCAAACGATTTCGAAGTTCTTTCTAACTATCATTTGAATGAATGTGACTGGTGGGAATTAGAAAATCCCTCTATTTTACCTTTGTGCACTCAAAGATGAAATATAGTCAAAAAACTTAATTCTGAATTCAGACCATTTTTATGCTGTAAAATATATGCTATGTGCTTTCGTTTTCATTAAAAATTAGGCTGATATAATCTTCATAGAAATATTAAAAAAATGTTTAATGTTGCGACTGGTGGGACAGGTCCCTGGTACTAATGTAAAGTAATTATTTGTGAAGTAAAAGTTTCCATAGACAAAAACATTAAAGCTTCTTCGAAAGATCAATGAAGTGCAGTCAATTAGCTGTTGCCACTGAAATATGGATAATTAAGGCATTTTGAAATTTATGTCCTTTATGACTCTTTTACATGGAATGACCCATTTACTATATTTTCTTTTACTTTTTTACAGCGTCTAACGAATTGGTTTTCCTTAATTTCTACGCCGAA